TTTCTTTTTTATTTTTTCTTTCTGAAGTCTCTTTTTAATGATTAACTATATAAAAACATCTTAATTATTTTTTTATTTTCTCAAAAACTTTTTTCTGTTTTTTTTTTTTTTTTTTTTCTTTTTCATTTAATACTTTAAAACCTATAAACAAATTTATACTAATATTATTTTCTAAAACATTTAGTTTTTATTTTATATTTATCGAATAACCTGCATGGATATTAGTATCGAACATAAGAGCAAAGTTATTCCATTCGATCTCAATTATTAAAGAAAAAAATTTAAAAGAGCAGAAAGACAGGAGAAGAAAGAAAAAGACTAAGCAATAATAGTATTTTGAATAAGGAGGAAGAAAAAAAAAAACAAAAACAACAAAACAACAAACAACTTTATATCACTTTTTTTATTTATCAGTTTATATTTTTTTTAAAGGAAGAATCCACTTTTTTTTTTATTAATTTTTAATTCTATTTCAAGATAGAAATATATTTTTTTTTATAGAGTCAATCACAAATACGTAAGTTTAATTGATCAGACAGATATAATAATAATAATATAGTTTTTTTGTTTTATTTTTTATTAAAAGTAATAATAATAACATTAAATACTTATTCATTCAATAACAAATATCACCATAATTTTAAATCATTAAATGAATAATAGAAAATTTCTCTTTTTAAAATCACACATCTTAAAATTGTTTTTATTGTTTTTTTAATTATTTCCCAATCACCAAAATATTTTTAAAATTTTTTTTTAATTTTATTTAAAATAATTTGTGTTAATAAATTAAATAATATTTTTTAATTTATTTATTTTATTAAATATACAAAAAAAACACACAACACATTCAATAATACAAACACCAATAAAACAAACATATAACACAACACACCAATATATTAAATTTAAAACAAAATATTTTTAATTTTTTTATTTTTATTAAATACAAATTAAATAATTAATAAAAAATAGTTTTTTTTTTTTTTTTTTTTTCCCAAAATTTAATTTTGGTTCCGCCCATAAAAAAAAAAATTTTATTATTTAAATAGATAATAAATGGTAATAATAATAATAATTAATAATATGGTAAAATATTTTTAATCAAAAACTAAATATAAATTTTATATTAACATAAATTATTTAATGGTTGGAAAATTAGAGATGTAATTAGGCAAAAATGACAGGAATTCGAAGCGCACTCCCAAACCCAGCCTCATTAGTTGAAAGCTCAACTCACAGATTTCTTATTTTTGATGCACCAAATGATGACAATTTACCTCTTTATATAAATGAATTAAAAAAATACAATGTTACACATTTAGTTAGAGCATGTGATCCAACTTATTCAACCGAACCACTCCAAGCCATAGGAATTCAAGTACACGTAAGTTTCATTATTTATAGTTTTGGAATAAAATATAGATTTGATAATTGGTTATTAGAATTCAAAACAATTTAAACAGATCAATAGGCAGATGACAGATTTAAATTTTAGATGTTGTTGTTTTAATTTTAGCGTTTTATCAAATGTGTTATTATCTTAAAATATTTTTAAGAAATTAAATATTAATACTATTCAATTTTATTATGGTTTTATAGGATATGCCATTTGCTGATGGTGGTTCACCTCCTGATGCAGTAGTCAATAATTGGGTAAAAATACTTACCGATTCTTATAAGTAAGTTTTAGCATAAACAGGTTATTAAAAAAATATATATACTCATTCTGCAATGTTTATTTTCAATATTATAGAAAGGATTCAAAGGAAACTATTGGTATTCATTGTGTCGCTGGTCTTGGAAGAGCGCCAGTTCTCGTAGCAATTGCATTAATCGAATCAGGAATGAATCCTCTTCAAGCAGTCGAATATATTCGTGAAAGAAGAAGAGGCTCCATTAATATTAAACAAATTCAATATCTTAAAAATTATAAAAGCAAAAAGAAGTCTTCATGCAGAATCATGTAAAACACTTTTATATATTTTTTATTTTTAATTATTACCACCCACAAAAACATTTTACATTATCAATACAAAACATAAAAAAAAAAAAATAAAAAATAGTATTTATAATAATAACTAGTATTAATAATTTAATATTAATTCTTAACCTAAAAATAATACTTTTTTTTTTGTTTATTTTGTTCCTTTTTTTAGAAGTTAAAAAAGTACTATTTCAATTAACTTCCTTTTTTTTATTTAAATAAATATTATATTTTTTTTTGTTTTTTTTTATTTTTATTTTTTTTAAATTAATTATTTTTATTTATTTTTTTAAAATTTTTTTTTTTTTTTTTTTTTTTAAATTTTTTTAAAATTTTTTTTTTTTTTTTAAAAAACCTTTTTTTTTTTTTTTTTTTTTTTTTTAATTTTTTTAACAATACCTATATATTAACTTTCATACAAAGAGCGTTAACCAAATTTATATTATTAGTAGTTAATATAATATATAGATTAAAAGATTTTTTTTATTATCATTTAAATAATTTAATAATAAATAATAAAATTCTCACTTTGTTTTTTTAAAAAAATACACATAATATAGCAATACATAAAGTAAATACTTTTTTTTTTTTCTCATAAAATTATTTACTTACCGACCATTATTAACCTTTTTATTATTATTATTTTTTTACAAATAGTAGAATATAGTATATACAGTATAAAATATTCAGAAATTATATAATAATATAAAAATATAGATAAATAAAGATGTCTTCAACAACCAAAGCAATCCCAGTTACATTAAAAGACCCAAGAAATGATATTAACTTTTCAACTTCAATTGGTGGAACCATATATGGTACTACTCCAGGTGGTACAAAAATAGTATATGATCGTAATACCTTATTACAATACCGTAATTCACCACTTTCAAAAACTCCACCACCACAATTAGCCCACATTCTCGATACTGAAAAGAACAAATCTAAAATCAACGAAATTAAAACACAACCACAAAAACCAGCTCCACAAACTGCCCAACCAAAACCAGCAAACGATGATGGTATGATAAACATTTTTATTTTTATAAATTAAAATTTTTTAATATGCACACATAAAAAAAATTTAAATTTTTTTGTGCACAGAAAAAACCAGTAAACTAACAATATTTTTTTTTTTTTTTTTCTTCAACTGAAATTTCAAATTTAAAAAATTTAATTCTTTTATCTTATAAATTATATAGAAATGTTCCAAATGGAATAAGATACAGCTAGTTTAATATATATATCAAAAAAAAAACTTAAAAAAAAAATTTAGTATTTGTATAAACAAAAAACCTAAAAAAAAAAAGAAACCTTCAAAAAATTTACAACAATTATATTCATATAACAATCACAATAATTATCTCTATAAAAACAGTTTTTACATGTAAATAAAAAAACTCAAAAAAATAACAAAAAAAACAAAAAACTAAAAATGATAATAAATTAAATAAATAACTATTTAAATAATTGTAAAAAAAACCTACACATTTTTTATATATTTTTAAATATTTCTTTATATCTTTTTAAATATCTTTTTTTTTTTTTAAAAAAAAATTATTCTAAGTACTTTGTTTAAAATTATTGGTTTTGTGTTTAAAAAACAATTAAAAAAAATTACTTTTTTTATTATACATTTATTTATACAAAAGTTTTTTAATGGTTTTGTTATATCTTTTTCTTATCTAATAAATGTCTTTGGAGTTGGGGGGCATCTAGGAGATGGAATTGAAGTTGTAAGTGGTTTTGGGATTGGATTAGATGAGGTGTTAATGGTTGATTTAAATGAAATTTGGGAATCAGATCTTTGGATTGATAATTTTAATGGTGGTAATTGTTTGGATTCTTGAATGGATTTTTCAACTTGGTTAATCCTATCCTTAACAGAGTTTGTTCTTTGTAATGGTGGTGGTGATTTAACTGGGTTGGTGGTTGATGGGATGGTTGGAACTGAGGATGATGAGGTATTTAATCCAGGTTTTGGTGTTGATGATGAAACAGTAGGAACTGAAGATGATGAGGTGTTAAGTGTTGATTTTAAAGGAGTTTTTGGTGGAGTGCTATTTGTTAGGGTAGTTCTTGGGGAGACTAATCCATTAGTTGCAGGTCTTGGAGAGCTTTGAATTTGGTTTAGTCTTGGTGATGTAGCATTTGTTGCAACTTGTGGTGTAATATTAACTTTTTGAATTTCAATATTTTTAACTGGTACTTGAACTTTTAGTATTGGTTTTTTAATATTATTATTTAAATTGTTAATATTATTATCACTACTATTTCGTAAAAGGCTTGAGATTGGGATTGGTTGTGGTGTTATTGTTGGAGTAGAAATATTACTTGAATGAAGCGAGGATGGTTCTTTTTTTAATGGGGTTGTGATGGGTGATGTTGTAGTTGATGTTGGTTTGTTATTTACATTCGATGATTCTTTAATAGTTTCTCTAAAGGTTGGTGAGATTGGGACCTCTTTTGTTATAGGTTTATGTGGTTGTGATACTTCTTTGATATTGATTGGTTGGGTTGATTCTTTAGTTTGTACAGTAATTTGATCAAGTTGGTTAATGATTTGCTCGTCATTGATAGATTCTTTTTTATAAATTTTAATAGTTTCGTTACTGTTATTTAAATTATCATCTTTAATACTTGAAATTACAGTGTTTAATTCATCCTCTATTTTTGAAACTTCTAAATCTAACTCAAGATCGGCTTTTAGTTCTTTTAATTCTCTAATTGACTTGGCATCAATTGAATTGCCATAGGATCTTGTTGAGCTATTGTTAACAATTGTTGTTGTTGGTCTATCTTTTGAAACACCTTTGATTGGAACAATCTTTTTGGTGTCGCTGGTACCCCTTTTTCTTTGCTTAGCATTATTGACGTGGGCTAACTCTAATAATCTATTCTTTAAAACTGGTGAAAGATTTGGACTAACAGGTTGTTGGGTTCTTTTGTTTATAATAGCCAATGGTGGGGAAAGGGGTGGTTTGCTTGGTGTTTCTGTACTGTTTGTTGAAAGTGAAAGTTCCGATGATTCGGTGATTGGGTTTAATTCATTATTTGTTTCTGGTGATAATGAAAAGGATGGTGGAGTTTGTTGAGATGATAACGAGGGTGATGTTTCAGATAAATCTTCCAACATTTGTTTAATGGTATCATATTTCTTTTGGTTTGGTTTATTGTATGATTGGTGTTTTGGTGACAATAAATATGAGGGCTTTCTTTTTATTGAATTGATGGTTGATTCTAATTCTAATTCCCAACTCTCTAATGGTGGAGCATTTTCAATTGAGGCCAATGAAAATGAACCCATGGATGAAAATGCAGGACTACCAGACATAGGGGAGCAGCTTAATGGAGTGATGCTTGTGCTTGTAGTTGTGCTATCACTATCACTGCTTTCTGGGATTTCCATTGAACTAAACGATACAATTGAATTAAGTAGTCTATGATCAGCACCTGTTCCAATTAATGATTGTGAACTATTCTTCCATGTGGTGAGAACAAAACTATTTGACCAACCTTGGAAGTAAGATTTAAATTCGGTATCTTCTTCTCCAGATTCAACGGTTACTATTGGAGTATCATTTGGTAAGTGTCCAACAGTTGATTGTTCAACATACTGCTTTGCTAAATTAAGGGTAGTGTCTCTTTTTCTTTGTGAACAGTCTGGGCCAAACCAAACAAATATTTTGTAGAAGCAATCTAAAATAAAGGCATCTTCTTCACAGAGATCACCTTGGCTGAATGGTGAGATTTTTGTAATAACGTAGGTACGAGCTTTTACATTATAAAACACATGATAGAACTTTGGGGGAATCCTGTTTTGTGATTCATAATATGGATTATGGGCATAGAATGATCTTTTTTGTTCTAATGGCATAGTTGTGATGGTTTGAGCAGCTTGATTGGTTGATGACAAAAAGAGTTTCCAGAAAATAGGTGGTTCTTGTCCTTCTTCGCAGTCAATAATTAAATCAAATTCATTATTTGCATTTGGTTCACCAATTGAATGATAATAAGTAACAATTGAGTTTGCTAAAGTTTGGCTAATTAATCTTAATTCTTTACTACAACCTCTACCATACCAAATGAATACAGTTTTAGCAGCAAAACTATGGAAAATAAAAATATCTCTACTATTGAGGCAAGTTGCATCAAACTCTTGAAATTGTACCGACCTTGTGAAGGTATTGGCAATTAATGAAATTTGATAAAGGGTTTGCTTATTATTTCCATTACAATAACTATTGCTGTTGTTGTTATTTACAAATGAGTTATTACTTCCACTACTATTGTTATTGCTGCTTGTATTGTTTATATTCATACTGCTTAAAGATTCTTTAAGATTGTTTTGACCAATAGAAGTTGAAACAGATGATTGGATTGACGACATTGAGGATATTGAGATATTTGAAATTGAGGCTGGCATTTCAGAATTTGATTTGTTTTCGGTGGTATGATGAATAAAAACATTATTAAAAAGTTTCAAGAAATCATGCGATTCTTTATTTTGAGTTAAACATTCGGTTGGTGGTGGTGGGGAATCTAACATTTGCATGTGTTCACTTAATTCTTTATAAAGACCAAATTGGAATACTATCCACCATCTAATTGATGCTTCAGTACCTTGCCAAAAGTATGCTTTTGATTGGAATTTACCATTGACTTTATATACATGATGACAAACATAACACTTTGATGTTTCGAAATGACCATATAGATCCTTAGTAATTTTCTTCCACTGGTCACCCTCACCTTTCCAAATATCTAGGGATATATGTTGTCTTTTATTTAAACCGCTATTTGTATTGAGAGAATTTTCTAAAGAGACTGTTGTTGGTGATGGAGAAACTGATTGTGGTTTTAAGTGATATGAATCTGGAATTGAAAATAAATCCGAAACTAAGAAATTTGAATCTATTGGAATTGGTGTTGGTACATGGCTGTTATTATTACCACGAAATTCACCAAAATTACCTGAACCCATTCTAAAAGTTGAAGTATTTCTCTTTGAGTTGTCAACTAAACATTCATCTTCGAGCCAGTAAAGGAAACGTTCTTTAAAAAACCATTGCTCTTCGCCTTGGTGTACAATATGGAGTGATGCCCATGATGGTCTTTGTGAAAAGATATTTAAAAATTCTTTTGCAAAAATTACAGCCACCTTCTGTTTTAATGGGTGGGAGTTTTTACCATTCCATACATAAACATCAGTTTCGCAATCTAAAATAAAACATGTATTGCTATTTAAAAGGGTTGGTACTAATGGTTTTTCATCGATCATATTGATTTTACCATTATCGCTGACTCTATATAACCATGTTGATGCTGAATCTTCCTCTGCTAAAACTTGATCATCTGATTCAAATTCTTTATATACATTTTCATTAACTATTAAATTTTTGGTAAAAACATTATTAATTGTAGTTGCGGCTGTGTTGTTTGAGTTATTGTTATTATTTGTTGTTGTATTTGAAATTTGAGCTAAATTTTTAAAAAACTCTGTGTGTTCATTTGATTTTTCTCCTCCCATTAGAAATTCGATTTGGACTGGTTCAATTATAAAGTCATTTTCGTATTTGATTTTATTTGCAATTGATGCACCTTTAACTTGTTTCTGTAGTGAAGATTTTTCGCCCATCCAAACATAAATTATTTTACCACAATCTAAAATGAATACATCGTTTGCATAAAGTGAGTCAATAGATGATTCAACCCTCTTTGTCTTAAATAACTCTGTACCAGATATTTGCCATAACCTATTGTTTTGTAATGAATATGATTTAAATGGAGGTGGTGGTAATGCTGGAGGACCATCGTTTTGATTACGTGCTATATAGATTGATCTTCTTCTTTCAATTTTCATTAATCTTGAACGCTCTCTACGATCACGAAGTACTTTTCTATTTCTTTCTTCTCTGTCGCACTTTAATGATTCTTCACGAATTAAACGCTTTCTTAACTCAACTCTTTTCTTTTTTTGTTTTTCTGATGTAATTGGTTGTAAAAGAGGTATCCATTCTTGAGGTGCGCCCTCAAATTGTCCTGAAACGTGATTCCATGTAATGTGAATATCTCTTCTGATTAATGTTGGATTACCTATAACCAAATCACCCATCGATTTACTATTATTTTCTTTTGAAATTGATACGAATCCACCTGCCATTGATTGACTACGCTCCAACTCACTATCCGATGATGGTGATGATGATAGTTTGGTTGGTGATGATTTTCTGGATGGTTTGGTTGGTGTTGAAAAGGGTGTGTTATTACCATTATTTTTAATAGTAGTTGTTGTTGTGGTGGTTGTAGTGGTGGTTGTAGTGGTGGTTGAAGTTGATACCATTTGACTATTTGCCTTGGGTCTCTTTTTATTATTGGTGCTATTATTCAAATTATTTACACTGTTATTTAAATTCGATTTTTCTATTGATTGTGCTAAATCATCTGGTGTTGATAATCTTAATTTACTTGAAATTTCATGTTCTAAATTTTTGATTGGTGGTGGTGGATCTTTTATTATAGTTGTTGTAGATCTACTTAGTATTGAAGTTGGGGTTGGTGGTGGTGGTGGGGCTGGTGGCTGTAATTGCATTTGTGATAATGAGGATGATAGTTGAGGGGGTGGTGATGATATTACATTGGTATTTCTTTCATTTGTAAATGATAGTGTTCTTTGTGCTGTGCTATCTCTTCTAACTGATACTAATTTATTTACAGATCTTTTTAATGTCTTACTCCAATCCTTTGGTAATCCCTGAATAATAAATAAAATTTTAATTAATGATTTGTTTTTTGATATTTTTAATGAATCTTTTAAAAATATACATACAGATAACTCTTGGCTACTTGGATCAAAATTTACATGTGTAATGTGAGCAAATCCAAAAGGACTACTAATTACTGGTGATGGGGTTGTGGGTGTTGATGATTCACTTAATGGTGGTGTATTTTCGGCACTATTGCTATTACTGTGGTTATTATTATTATTTTTAGGGGTTGAGTTTATTTTCGAAAAAAATAATTTTAATTTTGAACCTGGTGAAGATGGCGGTGTTTGATTATTATTTACTATAATATTATTTTGTGAATTAAATTTTGGTGAAGTTGGCGACGAATAGCTTAATTTAGAAAGTTTTTTTTTCTTTTTCCATGGAGATGAATTACCATGTTTATTTGTAGGTGTGGTTGGTGTAGTTTTTGATTCTACTATAACTGGCTCCATTTTTAAATTATATATATTTTATAATTATTATTGATTATTATTGATTATATTTTATTAATTATTATTATTATTGAAAAAAAAAAAAATAATAATATTATTGAAAAAATAATTATATATTTATTATTTGTTAAAATATAACGATAAAATTTTTTAAAATTATATTAGGCAGCTCTTGCTTAATATAATATATTTAAATTTGTTGATGAAGAATTCTGTAATATTACTTTGTTTTAAAAATTATAAGTAAAAATAAATTTAATTACTGAAATATTTTATTTTATTTTTTTTTTGTTTTAAAATAATTTTATTATATTTGGGTAAAGGAGAAAAAAAAAAACTAAATTAGTATTTTTTTTTAACTTGTTATTATAATAATGGTAATAGAAAATATATATATATATAAAGCAAAAAATATCACAAAATAATATCAACATTAAAATAAAGATATTTTAAAGTATTAAATTATTAATTGGTGAAATAATAAATTTATATATATATAGTATAAAATAGAGAGTGAGATATATAATAATAAAAAAATTTAAAAAAAAAACAATTGTTGATATGTGGTTTATACAAAAATAAAATTTGAAAATAAATAAATAAATAAAATAAAAAAAATAATAATAATTATAAAATTATTACATTACTAAATGATATATAAATAAATAATTTTTAGATAATTATTTGCTTATTGTTTTTATATATATAAAAATGGGTGTGTGCTTATAATTGTGTATGTGTGAATGTGGTAAATAACATAAAACAAAACTTTGATTTAGTGTTTTTCATTATTTTAATGATGAATTTATTTTTTTTAATTTTATTTAGTATTTAGTATTTTGTGAATGTGTGTGTGTGTGTTTGAAAACAAAAAAAAAAAAACAAAAAAAAAAATGATTAATGAAAGTACGAATATATTTATGTGTGAGTGTGTGGTGATATCTGTGTTTGGACGAAGGATAGGATGTGTTAATAATAAAATAATAATATTGAGGTTTAAAAACAGGAAATAAAATGTGTTTTATTTTATTTATTTTATTTTATTTTATTTAATATTATTTGGTTTTATTTATTTGACGAGAATAATAATTTTATTTGGTGTATTTTGTTGTTCCTTTGAAATTGAGGTTAGGATTTTATTTTATCTTATTTTATTGTTTATTTGTTTTTTAATAAAAAAGAAAAAATAAGATTCTATATCCAATCTTTCGATATATAAAGATAATGTGAAAAGAAAACTAACCTTTAAAATAAAATTTAAAACAACTAAAAAAAAATAAAATGAAAAATTATATTATTTTATTATTTTTATTATTATTATTTGTTTCTCTTTTCTTTTTTTTTTTTATATTTAAAATATTTAAAATTTTAATTATGAAATTTAAAATTTATGTTGTATTTTTATCTTTAGTATGACATACAAGTATTATAATGATTATTTAAATATTTAACAATATTTATATAAAAAAATAAATTATATTCACATATGATAATAATATAGAGATATATAAACATACATGTGTTTTTGATTTTGGTTTAATTTTGTAAATGGTGAAAAAGAATGTGGGTGGATTAATAGGAAAAAAAAAATTAAAACATTTTAAATTTTAATGATTAAAGTGAGGGGGTGGGGTGAAAAACTATTAAATAGACTCATTATCTATATTATTTGTTTAATTATTTATTAAATACTCGTATAAAAATACTGGATTATTATTATTAAATATTAAATTAAAATATAAACAAAATCAGAAACAAAATATTTTATATTTGGATAATAAAATAAATATATAATTTTTTTGAATTTTTTAATATTTACATTTTTATTTTACATAAATTCTATTTTATATAAATTCTATTTATATAAAAAGAGT